CCAACAGTTTCTTTAAGGAACAGTAGAGAAGAGAGATAGATAGGAATAGCAGTTGGTGTAATGACTGTGTCACTGAACTTCCAGGTAGTGGACTGTGGTTCGAGTCTTGGACCCATTGGCTTAAATTCATAATGGGCAAGTGTGCGTGTGCTCCCAAGATCTCGAGAGGAGAATGGAGAAGAAGAGATTGCAACGTGGCCATCCCCCGTGGAGGGTGATTTCTCACTTTCTGTCTCTAAATCTCTCTCTGCCTTTCTGGTGAACACATGTGCTCTATAGCAAAATCCTCTCAAAAAAAAAAAAAAAAGAGAGAGAGAGAGACAGACCATTGCAATATGGAGCAGTAAATGGGATAAAAGATTCATAAAATCACAAGAGAGGACACAAAAAGGGAACACAACCAAGATTAGGGCAAATGAAAAGGTCAAATTAGGGTTCTTGGAAGTGATAAGGTCTGTGCTGAATTTTTACCTTAATATGGACATTATTCTAAACACACCAATGAGCCTGCAAAAAAGATACTCAGAAACCAGAAAGTAATTGATAATGATTGATACATGAATGGGAGACCAGCCTTTTAGAAATGGAAAAGTACCCAAGAGCTCACCCTCAGCAGCGTGCTGCTAAGACACTGTGCTCAGCAGGCTGAGCCACATGGGAGCCTGGGTTCAATCCCCAGTCCTGTAATCCTGACCCAAGAGACTGAGGCAGGAAGATTACGAGTTTGAAGTTGGCCTGGGTGACATAGCAAGAGACTCTCTACAACAGAGCCAGGCTTGGAGACACATGGTAGTAGTCTCAGCTGGGAGGTGAAAGCAGGAGCATTGTGATAGCAAGATCCTGTGAAAACAGACACAAAGTCCATGTACATATCCTGAGGACTTTAGACTTTATTTTGGAGGATATGGAAAGTCATTAAATGATTTTAAGCAGGGAATGATAAGAAGACATTTTCATTTCAGAAAGAACACTTTGGCAGCAGAGTAGAGAATTTATAGCTGAGATCCCAGAGCCTGCTCAGGAGGCTGGTGTTGAATCAAGGTGATAAGTGGTAAAGGAGTGAAATAAATAAGTGCCAAGGAGCAGGCCACAGCGTCCAACACTGTAGGAAACAACAGCAAAAATAGGAGAGAAAGATGTATTTGGGGTGATTTTATGAGAAAGTAGAGTAATGAGTGTTAGGGATTTGTTTTATTTATTATGTTTCCAGTTCTAGGATCATGCCCTGGCATAAAGAAAACATTGAATTTTTAAAATAGTTACATAAGTGATAAAAAGCTATTTTTTCCATTAAACATAAGGTGTGAGATTGTCTGCTGAGTGTGATCAGAGAAGTCATAAATTAGTTTGAAGGAGGAAAGAGCTGCCCCAAAAGAATTTATAAGGGAATAGAACCAGAGACACATAAATTATTTGGCAATGTTGAGGGCTGAGTTGAAATCACTAATTGTCGGTGAATGCTTTATATTTCTGAATGGTTTCTGTAGCACTTATCAGTAACCTAGCATTCAGAAGGGAAAGCTGCACACACATGGATGAGGAAATGATGAACAAAGGAGACGAGGGCTGACTCAGAGGGAGAAGAAGGGAAGGGATCATTGTTTTTTGAAGAAAAAAAAAAATTCCTGACACCGAGACTTGATTGAGGGTACAGAACATAAATAGCAACCTGAATAATCATGTGGAGGGGCTGGAAGGTGAGAGGCTCTCATGCGTCAACGGAACTTTCAGGTGTTGCACAAGATGAAGTCCATGGTGTGACACTGGCATGTGGCTGAAGGGTGGTGGCCCTGAAAATCACACCACTGAAAAGACAAGAACCATCAGGTTGGTTATGGAAAGGACACGTAGACATGGAAATGATCTGGCAGAAGGGTGGAGTTAGGGTGTGGAAGAACCCTGCGAAGCATTGATTGAGAGGGTAGAAGATACAGGCATCTATGGGTGACGGCATGGAAGACATGTGAAAGATTGCATAGGTGGGTGGCAGGGGAATTGAAAAGGTACTTCACAATATCATAGTATGGAATTTGTATGTGTGCATGGGGAAGTAACATTGTCTCCTGGTCTTTAGAGTGTGGGGAGAGAGGGAGCAGGCATTTGAAACGATGAAAAAATTTAGACAGGGATCAATATTCTCATTAACCTGTACAGTTTCTGTGGCTGCTATCATTAAGTACTACATTTTAGCCACTACATTAGTGGCTAAAAACAATGCAAATTTTTTTTCTTCTTTTTTTGGAGAGGTTTTTGCTATAGGGCGCGTGCGCTCACCAGGAAGAAGACAGAGAGAGAGAAAGTGAGAAATCACCCCCCAGGAGGGATGGCCACGCCGCAATTCCTTCTCCTCCATTCTCCTTTCAGGATCTTGGGCACAGGCTCCCCACGTGAGTTTAAGCCACTGGGCCTGGGATTCGAACTGTAGTCGACTACATGGGAGTTCAGCGACATATCCATTACACTAACTGCTGGTCCCGGTACATCTTGAATTGATCTCTAACTCCTTGTTATATAACCTTGAGTTATATACTTATATCATCTCCATAGAAATTACCTCTTGAACTTGTTTATATTTCATTCATTGGGAATTCTATACTCGTTGTCAACCAAGATTGATGTGTTAAAAAGAGGATTTTCTCACAGTTTTCATAAAAGAGGCAAGACATTTGAGGGATATAGAAATATAGATTGTATGTTGATGATAAGGTGTGTGATATCTTCAACTGGACTGGTGTAAAGTGTACTCATGTTGGGTAAATTTATTTTACAAACTGTAGTGATACATGTGAAAGATTGCATAGGTGGGTGGCAGGGGAATTGAAAAGGTACTTCACAATATCATAGTATGGAATTTGTATGTGTGCATGGGGAAGTAACATTGTCTCCTGGTCTTTAGAGTGTGGGGAGAGAGGGAGCAGGCATTTGAAACGATGAAAAAATTTAGACAGGGATCAATATTCTCATTAACCTGTACAGTTTCTGTGGCTGCTATCATTAAGTACTACATTTTAGCCACTACATTAGTGGCTAAAAACAATGCAAATTTTTTTTCTTCTTTTTTTGGAGAGGTTTTTGCTATAGGGCGCGTGCGCTCACCAGGAAGAAGACAGAGAGAGAGAAAGTGAGAAATCACCCCCCAGGAGGGATGGCCACGCCGCAATTCCTTCTCCTCCATTCTCCTTTCAGGATCTTGGGCACAGGCTCCCCACGTGAGTTTAAGCCACTGGGCCTGGGATTCGAACTGTAGTCGACTACATGGGAGTTCAGCGACATATCCATTACACTAACTACTGGTCCCGGTACATCTTGAATTGATCTCTAACTCCTTGTTATATAACCTTGAGTTATATACTTATATCATCTCCATAGAAATTACCTCTTGAACTTGTTTATATTTCATTCATTGGGAATTCTATACTCGTTGTCAACCAAGATTGATGTGTTAAAAAGAGGATTTTCTCACAGTTTTCATAAAAGAGGCAAGACATTTGAGGGATATAGAAATATAGATTGTATGTTGATGATAAGGTGTGTGATATCTTCAACTGGACTGGTGTAAAGTGTACTCATGTTGGGTAAATTTATTTTACAAACTGTAGTGATGTACAGTGATTGAATGTATAAAATAAAACAATAATAAAATTTTAAAAAAAAAACATAAAAAGGCAGGATAAAATGATGATGTTAGGATAAAATAGAAAGAGAAAGAAGAATATATGTTAATATGAATGGTAAGACAAAGAACAGAAAACCTGGAGTGAATGTAATGACTAGCAAAGTCAAGGTCAAGCCCAAGAGAAGTACCCTCGCCTCTCAAATGCAGCTCAGGTTGTTGGTATAAAATAATATATATTTTATGATTCACAGACAGGCAAACAGGCAAGATTGCTCACAGATGTCACAGTGGGTAGTTTCAGCAATGTTCTATAGCAAATTTTTTTTCCTACAAAATTTCTAATACTGATTTTTATTGTTACTTTTCTAAACTAGTTTCTTTCACCTAAGCTGTTGGTAGCACATCTACTAGAGATTAACAATATTAATTTAAAGTTCTATAGTTATGTGTTAAAAATAGAAGCCAATGTAGTAGTACTTTTCAGATTAATATGTATATTTCATTTGCGTGGAGTAGGATATTGAAATTGAAACAGTGTACATAATATGGGATTTATAAATATTATAATCATTCCACTTTAACCATCTTTAAATGATTAAATATTGGATGTTTATACAAAGAATTAGTGATGAAGAACACAAAGAATTTAAAATAGCTATCCTAAATTATTGATAATAAATTTAATCACTATTTATTTTACTTCTTTTTTTTTTTTTGGAGAAGTTTTTGCTATAGGGCGCGTACGCTTGCCAGACAGACAGAGAGAGACATAGAGACAGAAAGTAGAAATTACCCCCCAGGGGGGATGGTCACGCCGCAATCCCTTCTCCTCCATTCTCCTCTTGGGATCTTGGGCACGCACGCACATGTGCCCAGCATGAGTTTTAAGCCACCGGGTCCGGGACGCGAACCGCAATCAACCACGTGGGAGTCCAGCAACATAGCCATTACACCAACTACTGGTTCCCAATCACTATTCATTTTAAAACTATTTTTAAAAACCAGTAATAGCAGTTATAAAATAAAAGCCCAATTCTATTTTTATTGAAGAACCTCTTTTTCAATAACCATTTTTCAGCAAGTCCCAGTGTCTTTAGAATATTGCACTGACACATCTCTGAATAACTAATACTGTCTGATCAAGTGATAAAAGCTGATAATTTATTTCATCACCATATTCTTTGAGAGGTGTAAGAGAACTCATACAGGTCTGTAAAACCTATGTGTGTGTGTATAGCACTGTTTATTCTTTGAGATAAGTTGAAGTTATTCGTGCCTATTTAGCATACATATTTTATACATAATCAAGATAATGTTTTATCTAAGCAACTAAATTCTCGTTAAAATTGGCGTATTCACAGTGACTTTTCTGGTTTTCTTTCAGGAGCCTCTCTTTCACCTGGAATCACACAGAAATGAGAGAGGAAGAGGCAGGTGTCCTTTTGACCCCAGCTCCTCCTTCATCTCCACTTTGATTGGTAATTATCATTTCCGCAGACATCAGGCGGTAGTCAAAATGATTTTAGAATATATTTTTTAACTTCAATTACCTTCATTCCACATTATAAAATATAGTTTGCCTTTTCATATTTATTTACTGGTGCTGGGAGCAATGATATTAAATTTCAAGCCATGCTAACTTGAACAATTTGACTCTAAATTAAGTGCTGATGCTATGAAATGTGTGTGTCTCATTCTGAAAATTAAAAAACAAAAATCACTTAATACCTGATATGAAACATTTTGAATAGGGCTCTTTACTGTTCACAAAACATAATTAAATGAATACTTTGTAAACATTTACCTAAAGAAACTAAACTACTGGAACAGCCAATGGCATGGTGGTTAAGGTGGCTAGAACCCATATGGTCAACTGAGTGGTTTAAATCCTAGACCCACCTGCTTAGAAAACATGCCAGGCACAGGGGTGTGTGTGTGTGTGTGTGTGTGTGTGTGTGTGTGTGTGTATGTGTGTGCACGCACGCACACGTGCCCAGGAATCCCAAGAAGAGAATGGAGAAAAAAGAACTGCAACATGGCCATCTCTCCAGGGAGCGCTTTCTCAAATTTTCTATCTCATATCTCTCATTGATAAGCATACTTGCCCTATAGCAAATTAAAAAAAAAAAGAAGAAAGAAAAGAAGCTAAACAATTTTAAAATTTTAACATGTGTTAATTTTTATGTTTTGATTACTCTTTGAACTTAAGGAACATTTAAAATTCCTTTCTTCGGTACCTTTCTCTATTAAGAATATAATTCAGCAAAAAGTTCTCTCTATTGAGAACTCCAAAGATATTTATCTAAATTCCTAATAATCTAGAATGTAAATCATAGAAGTTGAGCCACTCAATCTATCACTAAATGTACACATTGGAATACTGGAATAGGTTGACGGTATCTTATCTAGATTTCAATTTGATTCAATTTAATCAGATTACATACCCGAAAACCTCACTTGAGACACCACAAAGTATGTTTCCTTTCTCTTCTATACCATCCGGGGTTGAAAATGGGCACACTAGTCAGCACTGTATTGGTCCAGACAGATGGTAGGTTCCTAAGTATAAAATTCAAGAGCGCACAACTCTATTTATTTATTTATTTATTTATTTATTTATTTATCTATTTATTTATTTTCACCAAGTTATATCTTCTACAGAAGAGGTCACCTGTAAATACTGACTAAATGGTATATTCACGGAGGTTTCTAAATAAAAACAAAAAATACATTTCAGAACATTATTTCTAAGAATAATATAAAGAATATTAGGAGGTAAAAAATACATGGCATACACTACTTCTACAGTGGAATCATAAGAATATTAGAAGAGAAGATCAATCATTTTTAACATTTCATTTAAGTGGTTGAAAGTAATTTCTATATCCACTTTGTCACTCATCACTCAGCCTCCCTGTAGTTTGTTTATGCATAAAACTAGGAATTTAAAACTGAAATTTTTAAGAGGGGAGATATTACTGGAGGGACATTCCAAGTGAGTTTCACTGAACTTCGAATCGAATTATACCATGCTGAAATGTGAAGTGCTTGCCATCTGGGTGGCTGTTTCCCTTATTCAGAAGAGAAGTCAAAAGAAAAAAGCCCTCCAATCCAAACACAAAAGTTATAGAATAATCCCTCCAAAGAGAAGAAATAAAAATATTAATTCTTCATATGTATCCACTCGCTTTCATCCCAAAGCACCTTGGAGAGATCATTCACTCTCTGTGGAAATGCAGTGGCCACTGGGATGGAAACCTGATAACCTATGTGAGCCAGAAAGTCTTTAAAACAGGGGAAGTAAAAATAATTCACCCAATTGAAAAAGCAGTAGGAATGTAGGCTGAAAAAATGGAGCTACCTGAAGTGGAATTTGGCAAGCTCAGTGCAGCTTACTCCAACAGGGAAAGAATGTATTAATGTGGTATTTTATGTCCACACATGTTCAGTGCTGATGGGTTAAGATAAGGCCCCAGCAACAACAATAAAAAAGGCCGTCTTTAGGACATTGCTTCTCTCTTTGTTAATTATATGTCACATGTTTAATGCTTGTTCTCATAAAGACAAATTTAATAAAACACTGAAATTGACAGCAGTGTTCATAAAGTTACAAGGCATCAAAGAAAAAAAGTGCTTGTACATCAGAGAACTTCCTATATCATTTTAAACTTTACATACAATTTTAATTTCAGTTAACTTAAATTTAGTGGACTTAAGATCACCTGAAGCAAAGATTGCTACTACATATATACTAATGATTACTTGATAGGTAAAAGACAAGTTAACAAATACATTATTATTAAATTTATAATCTAATTTAGAAATATAATTTAATGACTTACAATAATTCTATGCAAAAAAGGATTTCAAGAGTAAACAAGCTCCTTCTTGAGCTATGATGTAGATGTATGATGTATGATGTTCGGAAACCAATTGAAGTGAAATCACATTATTAGGTTGTTGTGAAAGTCATGACATATTTTTTCCTATGTTTGTCTATGTAAATGTGTCATGACTTTCCAACAATTGAATAATTACACTTCCTTTTCACATGCTGATTTTTTAGTGACATAATTTGATTTGCTGGCATATCTCAGGTGTAATATTTCTGTGGGTTTAGCCGAGTTATTCCTCAGTGTGAGTGCTCATACTGTATTTTAAAAGATTTTAAACTGAAGAAACAAGGTCTCACAATCTTATTTTTTTTTAATTTTTTTAAATTTTTTTAATTTTTTTTATTTTTTATTTTTGAGAGGTTTTTCACTATAGGGTGCGTGCGCTCGCCAGACAGACAGAGACAGACAGACAGAAAGCGAGAAATCAACCCCCAGAGAAGATGGCCATGCCGCAATCCCTTCTCCTCCATTCTCCTCTCGGGATCTTGTGCACGCATGCACACGTGGCCAGCGTGGGTTTTAAGCCACCGGGTCCTGGACGCCAACCGCGGTCGACTACTTGGGAGTCCAGCGACATAGCCATTACGCTAACTGCTGGTTCCCAACACAATGTCATTTTTTAAGTGGATTGTTGAAACAATGAATTTTCTGTAAAATGAGTGGCTGTATTACTTATCTGTATCCTTCAACTCATCCAAAGATACGTCATACTTACCTTGCCTTGCCATTAAATTATTAAGTTTGGTGACTGGCCAAATCAAAATCCAGGAACTACTTTCTTTGTGTCATAAATCATGTTGGTCCAGAAGAAAACATTTCAGCTGATTCTTTGTTATTGAGTTTGATGTCATATTTGGATCCCTTATGTTTTCTCCTCTCAATCCTATTAGCATTTTTTGAAAATACATACATTTTACTCTGACCCATAAATTGTATTACCAGGGACCAGCAGATGGCATAATGGCTATGTCACTGGACTCCCATGTAGTCAATAGCAGTTCGAATCCTGGACCCGGTGACCAAAATTCACACCGGGCATGTGTGTGTGCGTGCTCAAGATCCCAAGAGGAGAATGAAGGAAAAGGGATTGTGACATGGCCATCCCCCCGAGGGAGGGGGGATTTCTTGCTTTCTGTCTCTCTGTCTCTCTCTGTCTTTCTGGTGAGCACATGCACCCTATAGCAAAAATGTCTCTGAAAAAATAAAATTTAAAAAAAAAATAGATTGTATTACCAGCTGCAGGTACAATTTAATCCTACCATGCCTCAGGTGTCTAAGGTATGCTAAGGTGTTATTGGTTTGGGGAGGAAAACTACTCTGATTTGTCAGGTATCTTTTGATACATCACATTGAAAGTGTTAACTTTGTCATTGGGATTTTGTAGGGACAAATCTTATGTGAAAGGCTTACTAATTTTATAATACAGATCCACTAATAAGATATTTACAGCCACTGAAATTTTTCTTCTAAATATTTTTCCATAATGACACTTTTTAAAATTTATATTCTATCAAAAATTATGTGAATTTAAAGGTCAATGCTGTCTCCTTCTGGCTGAACACAGAGCAAAAAGCTAGAATCCGTGTGTATCTGAGGTGGGCCAAGTCCTGCCCCTTTAACTGGAAAGCCTCTGCCCTAACCCTCTCCTTCTGGCCCAACACCCAGCAAAAAGCCAGAATTAGTTCAAGAAGGTAGGAAGCAATGTATAATCCATCAGATGATCAGAAACCACCGCAGAGGCACAAGAAATACGGGAAATCAAGACGCTGTCTCTCCCCCAAAGGGAAAGAATAGTCCATCATCCACAGAGAGTACAATGGAACTCATGGAAATGTCAGATAAACAATTTAGGATATTCATAGGGACAAAGATAACAGACATGCAAGAGAAACACAACTACGAACTCCAGAAAATGCAGGAGAAAAGACACAATGAGTTCCAGTAGGTGAGAAAGTTCTACCATCTCAAAGAGGAAATATACACCATAGAAAAGAGTCACACAGAACTGTTAGAGATGAAGGCTGTAATATAGAAAATCAAAACCTCCCTTGAAAGTATCAAACATAGATTAAATCATGCAGAAGAGCGAATCTCAGATGTAGAAGACAGAAGCTCTGACCTATAAAAGTTCACCAAAAAGACTGAGAAAATAACCACCAAAAATGAGAATAATATACTAGTAATACTAGATACCACTAGTATTATGTATACCCAAACATTCAGGCATCTGTTTTACCTCATATACATATATGTAAATAAATTTAAAAATAAGTAAGAGGAAAAAAAAAAGCCAAAGAAAAAAAATGCTGATTACAAGAAAGTTGAACTACATTTAAAGAAAATGTAAGGAAGTATTTCAGTTTCTTAATAATATTTGTAAATTAATCATCATTTCTTTTCCATTAGCTATATTTATATTTAGGGCAGAGTTATGAATACATATTCCTGGCACAAAGCAGTAGTATTTATGAGAAAAATAAATGAAGAATAAAGATAAAATATATGTCTCAATTATAACTTTTACATATGAAACAAGTGAATGTACTGACTCATTTCTTGAATTCACCCCAACAATCCAGAAA